ATTGTGCAAGCATGGTTTTCATTATTTCTGTAAATTATGCATCTTACAGGAGATTTCATACAAATTAATGTGGCTTGAGGGATTCTCCCATTGAGCAAGTTCCTTGATTTCCTCTTCAATCTCTCTCGTTTCTCTTATTATACTACTTATGCAGAACCCTAAAGCACTCAAACATAAAACCATTTGACTCTTGAGCTCCTCACTTTGGACATGAATCTTATCAACTACTTCTTTTGAGTGTTGGAGATAAGAACTTATAATCGTATCCATCTCTTCATCCTTGGAACCGCAAATCAGAAAAATAGTTGGGTTTCCAGATTTCCCCAACTCAAGATCATGAGCTATGTCACTCCTTTGGTCAAGAACTGTGATTGATTTTATCAAGGTGATCTCCTTGAAGCATTCTATCAAAGAGCCAACCATTTTCTTGAAAAGTTCAAGGTCACATTCTACTGTATGTACAATGTCCTTCCAGGAAGCCTCAAGCATTTGTGAATTTTGTTCAAGAGCAGCTACTGCATGAGCACTATAGAGTAGGAGGTCCATCATTTTGGACAAGGACCTCAAGAGTTTTCCATAGCAAGCACCATGAAAAGGCCAAAACCAGAAATTGGGCTCTGCCTCAGCTTCTCCAATCAACTTCCCCAATTCTTCAACATGATTTTTCAGTCTCTTCTGGTTCTCTTCCAAAAGGGCTCTGCCTGATTGAAGACTCACTGAGTTAATGCACTCCTGCAATGTATCAAGAGTCCTAGAAAGTTGAGCTTTTGCAAGAGTAGAAGCTCTTGTGGGCTGCAAGAGTAAGTCAACCATAATTGAACAAGATAATCCAATGAAGGTCTCTGTGATTCTGGCTATGGCAAATTCACTTGGAAGGCCAAAATTTGCTCTGCCCAAAATTAGTACAGCTCCAATTACTGCAGAAATCCCACCAGCCTGGCCGTACATTCGACTACGCTGGAGAAAACTGGTGAAAATAAACCAAGGAATAAGGGATAAGAGTCTTATGGACAAGAACCTTTGGAACAGAAAGCAACCCAAAACTCCATACACAGTGCCAAAGACCGTCCCCTGTGCTTTAACATTTGCAACTTTGAATGCTGCTTCTCTGGCTGATGCAAAACTGATAGCTACTGGAAGTCCAGACCAAAAACCATTTTCTTTGCTGTATACCAAACCAAAGAACACAGCTAGACCCAAGGAAAGTGAGCATTTGAAAGCTATCATAAGCCTCTTGCTCCTTACCTTGATGGACAAGTTACTCAATACCTCTTTGAAACAGAACCCATTTTGTTTACGTGAATCGATTGCTCCTTCATTTTGGTGAACCAATAATTTGCCTTGCTCTGTGGGACTTGTGGCTGATAATTTTCCATGCAAGAGCTTTATGCAAAACAGAAAGAAAATTGGGGGTAAATCCTGGTGGGTTTGTGGGATGGTTTTAAGTGTTTGGAGGAACCTAACATTTTCTGCATTTGATTCAGGAACAGTTGTTGAATCACAAGGTGCGCTTAAGTTTACTCTAAGTAGGCCATCTTTGAGATTTCCATTTACCACATTAACTGGGAATGAAGAAGTACTGGTCAATGCCATTTCCATCCCTGTTAAGGGTATCTCAAAGCCTTGCAATCTATCTCCTGGATTTGCATACTTGTATCTCGAAAATTTCAGAGGAAGTTTCTCCCACTTCATACTTTCCTGCTCAGAAGAAAAACACAAATCAATGTGATTAGCACGCCTGAAATTAGAGATGGATCAATTGACAAAAAGGTATTTATGTCGAGCAATGCTATGCTCCTATACTGTTAGCCCTCATTTGTTAGGAAGGATTAGACTAGACTGGACTAGACTAGAAAAATGTGCATTTCATGTACATTAATTCAAGGCATAATATGAATATTTGTTTAACTTGAAGGAAGAATGGGGAGTATCTATAAGAGGTTGATGACTAAAACTTATCCCTAGTCTTCCTTCATCCTCCAAGTTAGACAACAACAACAATATCCATATTTAGCCTTAATTGCACATGACATGTAGCCACTTTTCCAGTCTAATCTAGTCCTCCCTATCACACCAGCGCTGTTAATACTTAATTGTAATGGAAATTAGAAGGCCACGTCTGTGGTAAGTTGATTGTTGGCTAAAGCAAAACCTCAACCTTATCCTTTGTTATCTAACTAGGAAAAATATCCTACCAGTAAATAAGAGTGGGTGAGGTAGACGTGTGGGAGTGTATTTGTAAGGGAACACGAGTATCTACAAATATCCAAAATAGCCAATCGTGTAAGAGGGAGAATAATAAGTGTCCTCCTCCAAAATGAAATGAAATGGGCAGCAGCCGAGAGCAAAGAAGAAAAAAAAGTGATAAGATGAGCCAATCTGTATTAATAGTAATGCGTTACGAGAATGTGGTACAAATAATTTTATTTCGAATCGTGATATATAGTTGTTGTGTACTTAATGTATACATAAGTTTGCTTACTTGGTGGCGCTTGATAGTTTGGAAAAGCTTGGTTGCTGTAGCAGCCAAGGACTTTGCTTGAGAAATTGATGCAAGTGCGGATGTACTGTTTTCTGCACAAAAGGCCTTCACAAAGAGCTTGAGCCTCTCTGAAGCATTCTCACCAAGTAGCTTTGCGTTCTGTTCAACCTACACAATATATTGGAACACTAATAATATTTTCTTTATTTTATATAATAAATAGTGAGTATGCAGTATTATCCGTACTCGCAGTTTGTCATTATTCACGGGTGTTTTAATATAATAAAAGATTATAAACTTTCACATTGGTATGGACATATTACAAGTACCTCTCGAGAAGCCAGGCGTGGGAAGGGAACCAAAAAAGCCAGAACACAGGCCAAGACTCCAATCCCTGTACTTGCTGCCACGTGAACAGGGTGCATGATGGCCTGTATCTCCCCACTCTTTATATAAGCTATTACATACACAATCACAATCTGTCCCAAGGCGATGCGTCTGCACACCAAGTGAGTAAACTCTGGCAGAGCCACCACAAATGCAGCAAGGCCCACCGCCAAAGCGGTGATGCCACTCGAAAGCCGGGCCGGGCCTATTAGCCACAAGCTCAACATGGCCGGTCCGATAGTTTGGGCTGTGGCGTAGAGCCCCAGCCATAAGCCACAAAGTGTGTTGCCTAGAGTCGCATCGGGTGCAATGAGAATCACTGTCACATAAGAGAATGCTGGGAAGGCTACTTGGTGTTGGAGAGCTTGTGGGCCATAGAGGGTGGTGAGGGCCACTATGGTGCAAGCAAGGCATGTACGGAATGCAGAGGCTAGGCATGTGAGCCAGAGAGCTTGTGCTCGGTTGGTCTGGTCTGGAGAGGTTGCCATTGTTTTAGGAAAAAATGAAATGAAAATGGTTGTAAGGTGTGTTTGGTGATAGCTGTGTAGGATATGGAAATGGAGCTATATATATATTGTGTAGGGTTTGAGGGTTGAGTGGAGTTTCTGTGAGGGAAAAGAGTGATTGGTTTTTTAGGTCTTATGTGGAAGGCTCCAATGGGACCCACACCAACCCATGTAGTGAATGGGGGTACTGATGCTAAATATTAGGTTCCTTGCTAGTAAATGATGATTGGTGGTGAATGAGATGATTTTGATTTCCAGTGATGGCTCTGTCACTTTTGACTTTTGGTACCAAGGTCCAAGGTGAAGAAAAAAACAAAACACAGTAAAAACTCCTTGCAGGTCAAATTTGTTTGTGTAAATTCATCAAATTACCACTCTCTTTTGTTTTCAACAAAGAAATCTTTGCATGCTTAAATAAATTCATCAAATTATCACTGGTTGAAGCCTTTGAATGCAACACCAACTCAAATTCCAATGAAACAGGGAATTAACTTTGCCTTTTTACAATTTGAAGAAGCAAAGCATAAATCTAAGCACTAGTAAAGCAAGCAAATAGTGGGAATAAAGACTAAAAAAGAGCCAAAGTGGGAATTCCCTAGGTTTCCACTCAACATTTCTGTCTCTTGTACTAGATTTTGTCCCTCCTGGAGGGCAAGGGTCAAGTTTGGGATGCTAAGAACTGCTCTTATCAAAAGCAAAGTTGCATTGCAGCTTCTTATGTAGCATACCTCACCTAATTTTAGCACACATATGAAGCACGCCCTTGTGTGCTTACGTGTTTGAAGGAAGTTGCACAAAGCTCAAAGGTCATGTGTCCACTACTCGTATAATGGTTATGGGAGGAGTGTCATGGAAGGACATTTTCTTTACAGAATAATGCTAACATCAGTTGATCACACACATGCAAATGACTCGATAGGAACCTATATATATCAACATCTCACTGCATACATCAACGAGTCACAATCACGCGTAAGTGACTTACACACACCATAGCATAATTCTTACATTACATGCATCCACAAGCCACAAACGAACTTTGTGTTGGCTGACATCAGAAAACAGATTAGGAGAGTTTTTCATGGGAAATGGTAGCACCCTCCTCTAGCAGCCTTATTCTAGGCGCATGCGGTGGGATCCTATGTAAGAAAGTGAGATTTGTTTGTCTGATATTGTAGTTGGTCTATCTGGTAGTGACTCTATTCTAAATATATATATATATTATATCTTGTCCTCTACCATGGACTTAATATGTTTTATATTAATTACTAATGCTCCCTAGCATTATGGATAGATAATTAGAATAATTATAGCCAAGAAAACCTATCATGCAAAATTAACCTATCATTTATCATGCTGCAAGAAAACCTATCAGCATAAAGTCAGGCTTAGGTTTGCTTACTGTATAAAATGGTGCAATCCTGGTTCCAAACATCAACTCAATAATGGAAAGTTTATATAGATACGTATCAAGGCAGAGCATCCGGATCCAAGTCAAAAACTGCCGTGTCTGAGTCATGTATTTATCTGTTCAGAATCTGAAAGGTCACCACAAAAGTTTGTTTGTTGCATAGACAATCTGGAATGTCAGGGGTGCTGGTAAAGTTAAATGTGCTAGTACTATTATGGACTTGAAAAAAGCCTACGGCATTGATGTTTTTGCTATTCTTGAGCCTAGAATCAGTGGTCCTAGGGCTCTCAGAGTTGCGCAAAGTCTGGGTTTTTCCCATTACCATATTATTGATGCTATTGGGTTCTCTGGTGGTGTCTGGTTGCTATGGAATGATAACTCTGTCTCTCTTCAAGTTGTTGCTCACTCAAGCCAATCCATTACTGCCCTTATCCAGTCAAGTAACCATAAGTGGCTCCTCACAGTGGTGTATGCTAATCCATGTCCTGGGGTTAGAGAAGCTCTGTGGAAGTACTTTGATGGCCTTGCTCTTGCTTCCTCTCTTCCTTGGCTTGTGATTGGTGATTTCAATGACACTGTAAATGCGACTGAAAAATGTGGTGGTAACACAAACCATGGTGGTAAGGGCTTTATCGACTGGATTGAGCGTAATCACCTTGTTGACTTAGGTTTTTCTGGTGCTAAGTACACTTGGTGTAATAAAAGGAATGCGGAGGGTATTATCTAGAAAAGGCTTGATAGGGGGCTGTGTAATATTGATTGGCGCATGTTGTTTCCTGATGCTCAGCTGTCTCATCTTCCTAGAGTCAATTCGGATCACTGCCCTATTATGGTAAAACTTGCTTCTAATCACCGCCCTGATAGTGATAATGTCCCTTTTCGTTTTCAAGCTATGTGGATGTCCCATCCAGATTTTAATGATTTTATTACTGAAAAGTGGAATTCTGGAAATGGCTCTGCTATGGAAAAAACTACTTCTCTTGTGTCTTTTCTTATCTCCTGGAATAGACAGATTTTTGGTTGTTTGTTCCAACGGAAAAAGACTATTCTTGCCAGACTTGCAGGTATCCAAAAGAAGCTGTGTGTGTGCCATAATCCTTTTCTCCACAATCTGGAAATTGAATTAACAAATGATTATAATCTCATTCTTGATCAGGAATTTTGGCTTCAAAAATCCAGAAATACTTGGCTCAAAGAAGGTGATAGGAATACTCATTTTTTCCATCTATCTACAGTCATCAGAAGAAGGAGAAATAAATTGGAAGGCTTAAACAACGACCAAGGTATTTGGATTACTGAAAAACATGCCATGAAACAAATAATTGTAAACTATTTCCAAGGTCTGTTCGATGCCTCGGGTTCTGTTGCTGATTACAACTCTCTTCCTCAGTTATTTCCTCATCTCGATGAGGCGGACCTTGATTGGTTAAGTTGTCCTATCTCTGATGAGGACATTAAGAACAGCCTTTTTTCCATTGGTGGCCTAAAGTCTCCGGGTCCTGATGGCTTCCCTGCTCTTTTTTACCAGAATTTTTGGGAGGTATGCTCCCCAGATATCACTGCTTCTGTTAAAAACTGCTTCCAAACAGCCACCCTTCCAGACCATCTCAATGAGACTTTTATTGCCTTGGTGCCTAAAGTTGAAAGACCTGCCTCCATGACTCAACTTAGGCCTATTAGTCTTTGCAATACCCTCTACAAAGTGGTCTCCAAAATTATTGTGGCTCCCCCCCGTCCCCACATGGCTAAGTTGGTCAGCCCGAACCAGGTGAGTTTTGTTCCTGGGAGGCAAATAACAGATAATATTATTATTGCCCACGAGGTGCTTCACAAATTCAAAATTACCAAAGGCAAAAAAGGTTTTATAGCTTGGAAAATTGATCTTTCTAAAGCTTATGATCGCCTTCGTTGGCCTTTTATTAGGGAGGTCCTATGGGAAATCGGAATCAGAGGAAGAACCCTGGAGTTGATAATGCAATGTATCTCCACTGTTCAGTACAAAGCTATCCTCAATGGGGAGCTAACTGATCCTTTCAACCCTCAGTGTGGAATTAGACAAGGGGATCCCTTATCCCCTTACATTTTTGTGCTGTGTATGGAAAAACTTTCTCATATCATCCAGCAAAAACTCCAAGACAAAACCTGGAAACCTGTGCAGATTTGCCAAGGAGGACCTACTATCTCACACCTTTTCTTTGCTGATGATCTAATCCTATTTGGGGAGGCTTCTACTCATCAAGCTCGTCTGATGAAGAAGTGTCTAGATGATTTCTGTGATATCTCTGGTCAAAGGGTGAGTTTTGAAAAGTCCACTATTTGTGTCTCCCCAAACATCCATGCGGACTTGGCTTCCTCCATTGCCACCATAAGTGGCTCCCCGCTCACTACCAACCTTGGGAAGTACCTTGGCGTTCCTCTTATTCACACCAGAGTAACTAAAAACACCTACCAAGAGATTATTGCCAAGGTACAAAAGAGATTGGCTTCTTGGAAAAGTCACACCCTCTCGATGGCTGGCCGTATGACCCTTCTCCAATCTGTTACTGCTGCAATTCCTCTGTATACGATGCAGACTGCTAAGTTGCCTTCTGCTGTTTGTGACAGGCTAGATCAACTCAACAGAAATTTTCTTTGGGGCCACACCGCTGACACTGCCAAGACTCATCTTGTGAATTGGGAGACTGTTTGTAAAACTAAACTTGGTGGTGGGTTGGGGATTAAAAAAGCTTCCTGGATGAACCAAGCTCTTTTGGCTAAAACTGGATGGAGAATTCTTCAGCATGAACAGGGCTTGTGGGCTAAGGTCTTCAATGCCAAGTACCTGAAACATCATGATATTTTAACTGCTAAGGATTCTCAATTTCCTTGCTCTTCCAATGTTTGGAGGGGTGTTCTCTATGGGACTCCAGTGCTATCTCGGGGTCTTAAATGGCGTGTGGGCAATGGAGATAATGTGATGTTTTGGACTGATAAGTGGCTTAGTTGCGGGCCTCTGCATCAATATGCTCTCAATGATCTTTCTCAGGATATGTTGCATTCAAAAGTCAGTGATTTTCTGGATGATGGTGTCTGGGATCTGAATAGCTTAAGGGATTGTCTTCCTGACAATATTATTCAATTGATTCCCAGTGTTCATGCTGGTCTTCAGGGTAGTGGGGCTGATCAATGTATTTGGCAGTTCAATCCTAATGGTACTTTCTCTGTAAATTCTGCTTATAATACTTTCCTCACTGATGAGAATGCAGTTGCTTGGAAATGGCACTTCATTTGGAAGCTCCCCCTTCCCCCTAAGGTGAAAACCTTTTTATGGACTGTTTGTCATAAGAAATTACTCACTAACGTCCAACGGCAGAGGAGGTGCCTCACTCAGGTTCCCACGTGTCCGAGATGTGGCTATCTAATGGAGACTATTGCTCACCTTTTCAAGGATTGCCCCTCCTCTCTTGACATTTGGAATGCCCTTAGATCTGGTGTTGGTAACAACATGGGTTCTATGGACTTTGAAGATTGGCTTTTGTTGAATCTGCAATCTAAAAATAAGGTAAATCATGGGTTACCTTGGCAGCTGGTTTATGCTACCTTCTTGTGGTTTGTCTGGAAATGGAGATGCAAAAAAGTCTTTGATCAAAATTTTATTATGCCTCTTGATCCCCATACTTTGATTCTCCAGTATGCGTTGGATTGGGCTACTGCCACTAGACCCTCCTCTAGCACCTGTATTCGGACCGTTACTTTTCTTCATTGGCAAGCACCTTTGCTTGGTACTTGCAAGGTCAACACTGATGGAAGTCGAAATAATACTACTGGAATGATTGGTGCTGGTGGTTTATTAAGAGATGCTGATGGTGCTTGGCTCAAGGGATTTACTGGAAAATTGGGAGTGGGTTCTATCCTTGAGGCAGAATTATGGGGCATTTTCTGGGGGCTCTCTTTAGCTTGGGATGCTGGGGTTCGGGATGTGGTGATTGAGTGTGACTCCAGTATTGCTGTGGACTTAATTAATAACCCTACTGGAGCCAACCATCCTCTCTATAATATCATCAATTGTTGCAAACTAAAGATTCATGGTGATTGGAACTGTGTTGTCCAGCATATATACCGTGAGATGAATACTGCTGCTGATGCCTTGGCTGCAATGTGTGCTGATTTGGCTCCTGGCATTAACTATTTTGACCTGCCTCCGACTTCTATTATTGATGCTCTGGCTGCTGATGCCATTGGCACCTCCAGACCTCGCTTTCTTCCTTTGTAGTCTTTCTGCTGTTGCTGGGCCTTTGGCCCTCCTTTTTACCAAAAAAAAAAAAAAAAAAAAAAAAAAAGTATTTATCTGTTCAGAATCTGAAAGGTCACCACAAAAGTTTGTTTGTTGCATAGACTAAAAAAGAACCAAAGTTTTCCAAGCATGGTAATGGGGATGGGAAAAAAAAAGGTGATCTTCAATTTCAAGAGTGTGGATCGCCTAGATATTTTAAACAAAATCATTATCTATAAGACCTTGTGACGTCCTTTCAATATTACACTTGTTTTTATCTTCTGGGTTTAAGATATATACTGGTCTAAAAAATAATGTTTAAGATATACACAAGGCGTAAGATCCAAATATTCATAATAATAATCTAATGGTTAAAGGATTTCTGATTTGGCTAATTTGAAGGGTGATATTTGATTGTTGACCTAAAAACTAAAAGATCCGGGTCATGAGATGACATTGTGGAGCAAACCCAAACGAGTGATGAGTGCCGTAAAAACTTACTAACCAGTTAGTACCTGAGTACTTGTGTGTGTATAATATATATGTTGTAATATGGGAGGGAGATTTGAATACTTGTGCTAATCAAAACAAGAAAAGTTCAACAAATATTGCAATTTGCAACCATCTAACCCAGTCAAAAGAGTCTGCTGATCACCCTAGCGACTTTCTCCATCATCATGAGAATTGAGATGAAGTTGCCACCCTTAGAATGAATAGACAGCTTTTAACAGGATGCTATCTGAGTACCCATAATGGTTTGACTTCTTTCAATACCCCTTTTCGGCTACTAGCTATTTTCAGCCATCTTCATCCAAGAACATCAATGCTAGAAGCCTACAAGTACTCCAACAACCCAATCTTTTTAGGCTGACTCCCATGGTTTTCTAAAGCATACGACAGCTGCTATTTGGGATATTCCACGAATCAAATTTACAGTCATACCTCCACAATTGAAATCCACACTTCAATGGGGAAAAGGCTAAATAGGGGAAGGATAAAAAAAACAAAAAAGAAGAAAAGAAAAGGTCCAATCCTAACAAGATGACAAATAAATATTGACACCAAAGTGTTGAATACAATACACTTTTCATCTGTCTAACAGTAACATACCAACATGGAGAAGCATTGGTTAACTGCTAGACATAAAAGCATATATTCAAGTAGAGGCAAACATAGAAAGTTCATATTATATATTTAGCTTATACAAAAATTAAGCTAATTATACAGCTTCTACTACCAAACATATCAACTAATATATGACAACAAATCCCACCCCGTGGAAAAACTTGCATACATGCACTGGCTACTTTGCAGAAGCACCAAGTGCTAACAGACTATGGGGAATAAATGGGACGGCTACTTATACCAAACATATCAGCTAAAACCTCGCCCGTTCTTTTGTTCTTACCTCACTTTGGAAAAATCGGACGGCTTTCAGGGTCGATAAATCCAGCAATAAATGCTATGAAAACCCA